CCGTGCCTCTCCGCCCCTCCGTCGGGCCCGGGAGCCGCGGAGGGCAGCGCAGCCGCGGACGCCCTTCTACCGCCCTTCCGCCGGGGGGGGACGGACGACACTCGGGGGTCTGTGCGTGTGTGCAGACCCCCCCGGCTCCCCATCCAGCCTTGCCTTCCTCCGTGGATGCACCTGAGCGCAACGGGGGGACCCCCGCTGCTGCAGAGCCGAAGGCGAGACACCCCCCCCTGCTTTTCCCCCCTGACCGCCTGGGAGCACCCCCGGGCCCCCCACTGTGCTCCAAGCATGGGGATGGGAGAGGGGGGACCCGTCGGGTCGCAGGGACACAGGGACGTGGTGGGTGTCTCGTCCCTGGGTGGGTGAAATGCCACCAGGTGCTGGAGGGGGGGGGGAGCAGGGGAGCCCACCAAAAAGGGGGACCTACCGGCTGCTCCGCACTCCCCGCTGCCGGGGTGTGTGGGAGGAATTGCACACGCACATGTGCACACACACGCATCCAGCCGGGGGAATTATTCATTCACGTCCAAGGCTCCGCAGACGGCCCCGCTTCCCAGGCAGCAGCACTTTTGCTCAGCCCTTCCCAGTACCCAGCCCCTCTGCCCCCCCACCCCGGGGCTGGGAACAGGGGGTCACCGCTGCCCCAACCCCTCTACAGCTCCCTGGCCCTTGAGATCGGGCAGGGTCCTCACCGCGGAGGCATGGTGCAGCTCTCCCGGCCTCCTCCTCCTCCTCGCAGCCTCTCACCCCTCTCTCTGTCCCTGACTTGGGGTCAGGACCCTACAAGAGCCAACGATGGGGGGTCCTGGCCCGGGACCCATGAAGGTCATGAGCAGCACGGGCGAGGATGCTCCGCTTTGTTCGCCTCAATGCAATAAAGGGCCTCAGGAGCAGGAGGGGAGCCAGGGGGAGCAGCCCCGTTTTGCTAAGCCCCGTAGGCAGCGTGTGCTCTGCACCGTGGGGTCGGGGGGGGGGGAAAGGCACTGAGCCTCCCCTTGTTCACATAGCCTTGTCTCTGGAGCAAGGGGCTTCGAGAAGCTGGCTGGCACATCGCCTTGGCAAACAGCACGTAGGATCACGCTGCTCTTTGAGTAAAGATTCAGACAGAAAGAAAAGGGGGGGGGGGCGACAAACAACAGATCAGAGCAATAGGCGTTAGTGAGGCTTCCCATTTAACAACATCCTTCCCTGTCCTATTCTTTTCCTGCTCTTTGCTCTCCCTGGCTTGCCTTCTCTTTAAAAAAAAAAAAAAACAACACGTAGTCTCTGACTTAGCAGGATGTTACTGTGCTTTCACAGAGCCTAAATGAAGACAGCAGTGAAAAGTAGTGTCCTTAGCTGCCCGGCATCGCTTTAATTTTGTCGGGTCTTGGAATGGCTCGTTGCACTGGGTGTTACACTTGTCTTCCTGCAGTAAGATTACCCAAAAGTGCCAGTCCCGACACAAAGAAGCCGCCGTTCCTCTCTCCCCTTTGTGCCTGGGCTTATCCCCCGCCTGTGCTGGAGATGGGATCCCAGCAGCAGGGGCAGCAACAGCAGCTCCAGCTCTTCTCCGGGCACTTCTGCCTCTTCCTCGGGAAGGCAAATACGTGCTTTAATACCTGCTTTAACACCTGCTTTAATGCCATCTCAGAGCTGAGCAGAGGGAAGGGATTTCCTCGGCCAGAAGAGGGATCTGCTCTCCTCTCTTCTCTCCCCTCTTCGGCCTCACCGCTGTCTCCTTCTCCTGCCTTCCCAGGCTCAAGACTGGGCAGTGTCGGAGGGGAAGAATTGCTCAGTCCCCACCGAAGGTGACATCTGAGGACTTTTGTCCCCACAGCTGCTCCCAGGAGGGAGAGGCACAGCTTCAAACCCCCATTTTCTCTGCCTTTTGTTTCCTTAAAGTGCACAGAGGCCATCAGAGACCCTCAGGGCCCCCCTCCCCACCCCAGAGGCTGCTGCTGCTTTTAGCAGAGGCAGCTTTGGGCTTCCCAGCCCGCTTTGGCCCCGGGTGGTGCGGGAGCCCTACGGGACGGGTCTCCCCTCCTGCACCCATGGGTGATGTCCAGCCAGCTCCATCCCAAACCCTCCAGGACTCTGCATGCGTTGTCCCTGTCCCCAGGCAGGGCAGAAGGGCTCTGGGAACACATTAACACACCCAGCCACAGCTCATCCTCAGGGCGAGCACCCAGCCGGTGCTGGGGACCATGGGATCTAATGGGAAAGCACCCACGTCTAATTACCTGAGCTAAAGCAGCACGTTTATTAGCACAGCCACAACGGCCACCTGACAGAGGGACCAGGCAGGGGCCACGAGCATCGCTTCCCGCGGCGTTAATCCCAGCACTGCTCCCACTGAAGACATTGATTTTGGTGCATCCCCGCTCCAGCGTTATCAGGAGCAGCCAGATACCTGGCCTCTCATTTAGAATTTATTCCAGGGGGATTTATAGCCTGTGTCACCGGGAGCTCCTTAAATCAGGGCCTCGGCATGGGAAGCATCACACCGACCAGCCTCCCCCCTCAGCCTGTGTTTTGGGGGCAGGGGAGATTGGACTCTCCTTTAGGAGAAGAGGAGATGGGTGGGATGGCGGAGGCGGCTCTTCCACCAGCAGCTTTGCGGGGGCACACGCGGGGCTTTGCCTTCCACAGCACTGGCAGCACAAAGAGGGCTCTGTCTGGAGCGAAGCTGTGAGGCCATTGATGAGCTGCTGATCTTGGTCGGAGGGAGAAGGGAGGCATGGAGGGAGGAGGATGGGAGGCAGAGGTCTTTGGGACCAAGGGAAACCTGCAAGGGACCATCGTGCCAGGGAAGAGGAGTGAGCACCAATACAACCCTGCAAATATTTATGCTTGGGGAAAAAAAAAAAAAAACAAAAAAAACCACCACACAACAAAACCAACAACTTTATTATGCCACAGCGCTGGGCAAATTCAGACCCTTTGTGAAATGACAATGCTAATCACCAAAGCCGATTACAGAAACACAGCGGCTGGGCTGGTGCCGGCTGCCTGCGCTGCTGCCAGTTGCTCTGTAGCTTTCTGCTGCCTTCAGTGGGGCCGGGCACCTTTAGAGTGAGGGGCGGTGGATGGCAGATATGGGTTGCTGCTCCTCTTCCCAAATTGTCTTCCACTTCCAGGGCATCCCACTCCCGACAGCTCGAGCATCCCCTCAGCAGCGGCGGGGAGGAGACCTCTCTGCGGGGCCGGGACAGCTCTCCTCCAGCTGGGCTTTGTTTCTGCGCAGAAATTGATAAATGTGAGCAGAGGATTTCTCCCCTCCTTCCGTTTAAGTCCCATTAATATGAGTTGGATTTGCTTACCCTCCTGACTTTAGACTTTAATTCTGCAAAGCGTTATCACATTAATGGGAGTCAAGGTTGTTAAAGTGATGGATTATGCTTTAACAGTGTAATCCATGGGGGGCAGGACCAGCCTCAAGAACTCTCCCCAACACTCCTTGTCTTCTCCTAGTTCTGACAGCTATAAGAAGAGCATGAGCACCTCCCCGGGCAGCGAGAGGGTGACACAGGGCCTGTGGCTTCGTGTGGACTTTCTGCCCTCAGCTGGTGCACAGGCAGGGCAGGAGTCAGGGAGGGGGATGCCTAGCCGAGGGCACGAGGACACATCCCTGCCTGGATGTCCCAGGCTCTCACGGGGATGCTGTTTCCCCCTCCGCTGGTACCCCAGCTCTGGTCTCCAAGAGATGCTGTATTTCAGGCATCTGCAGCAGTCTGGGTCCCACATGGGCTTTTTTGCACATCTGAGGGCTTGCAGGGTCCCAGGAATGGCTGGAAGGCAGAACCTCGCTTCTGCTCCCAGTCCTCCAGCAGGCCAGGGGCAGAGCTGGACCAGCACATCATGTCCCCAAGCTGCAACTCAGTTTGCGGAGCCCAGTTTGGGGCTGCAAGTTCCCAGGTCAGGGCTTTGCCTTCCCAGGCCATGCAGCAAACCGAATTCCCTGCAGCACAGCACCAACCGCCCACCCCAGAGCTGCCCGCGACCCCCAGCCCATGCTCAGCAGCTCCCGTCACACTCGCTGGAGGGTTTTCTGCAGGGGCTGTGAGGGATGGGAGCCAGGACCTGCAATGAAGTGCCCCATAACTCAGCCGTGCTGCGAGAAGTACTAAGTTATGGCAGGGTGGCTGCACAGGTACTGCTGGCACATAACTTGCCGGGTGCCACAGGTGTGCTCCATTTGTTCAGGGCCTTTTAGCTCCAAGGCTCCAGGATTTTGCCCATTTGTTTTCCCCCCCTTGCAAATGGGAATCTATTTTATATTATTTTTTAATAAGAGGAGAAGAAACTCATGCAAGGGGCTGCCCGAGCCCTGGCTGTGGAGGGAGCAGGGCTGATTCACTGTGGGCACATTTTCTGCACGCACAGATAATCTGCTCGTGCAAAACCATGCACAGGGCACCCACCGCGAAAGGCTGCATTGCTCCTCACTGTGCAAAATGCTCATCTGCAGC